TGGAAAGGCCGAGTCGGAACGACTGGAGGCGAGACCGGGCGCGGTGACAGGAACAGTCAGGCATGCTCTTCAAAATAACTGTGCCACTGTGCAGTCGTCGAGGTCGACGTGACTTTCGAACAGGACGTTGGGGCGTCTATTGACTGAGTGTAGGTGGATAAACCTCTCCACGAAGATGATGGCTTGGGCGGGTCTTCTCCCTCAATTTCTCGGCAATTTCACGTATACGATTTCTAAACTTTCTCTCGACACACCTACGTTTAGTTCTCGGAGATACTGGTCTGGAAGTGATAGAAAAGAAAACGATAAAACTAACTAGTATGGGTTAACAGAAAAGGTAAAACACAGGACGGCAATGCGTGCTCTCAGCGGCGTGGTAGGGCAGGAAGTTACGCCCAGGTGTGAGCATGTCAAGCAGGCACGGCGTCCTATCGATAAAAATCGATAGCATATCAGCGTACGTTACTCGTGCGCGGCCGTGGAAACTTGCTGCTACGACTGCAGCCAACCAATCAGAGGTCAGTTGCGAGCGGGGCGCGAGCAGCGAGTCTCGATTCGCAAATGATTGCTATTAGGGCAGCCCGACTACGCGTGCCACGCGCGCCCGGTCCGCTCACGATGGACCAGGTTTTCGCAGAAACACGTCGGGGGCAGCTCGGATCCGAAGCGCATGGAGATGTAACAGGAGTCACGTTAAGAAGGAGTCATTCAAGCCTGACTCTCTGCCCTGGTAGGAGGACCGAGTTATTCCACAGGTTAAAAGTCTGCCAAGCCACGCGTTTATGCACACCGAGAAAACTTCAAGCGCGTCAGATAATTTACAATGAAAAATACGCACCCAGAATCGACCTCACTCTCTTTTCCCCCTCCCAGGGATCAGTCTACTGCTCGAGCCAGTCGGTTATCTGATGAAATATTGGACGCAGTGACTGACAAAACCAAACGGATAGTCTAAGAGGGTCACACACAAACTGGAGCTCTACACAACACACCAGGATTCCGCACAAGGGAGTAGGTGTCTCGGGTCTTACACGCGTCAGAGTGACATAGACTGGAGGTTAAGGTGGAGCAGGGGAATTTCATTATCCGTCCACCAGTTAGCCGCTACATGCAAATACACACTGGACTGACTGCGAGACCTGAGTTTAATCTTCTGTTGGCCACCCTCCAAGCCATGGATTTTGGCGCGCCTGATAAATTCAAGAGCGTCAGGTTGTTTTTAGTGAGGAATATGTGCTGAGATTTTATCTCGCTCGCTCTTTCGTCTCTTGAGCACCGGGCAAATGTCCGGGCGGGTCAACCAACCGATGCTGAGATCGAGCGCGGTGGTTGACAGAGCTCAGCAACCCATCAACGTTGCTACACGCGACTCGGTCACTCAATGCAATAAATAATGTTTCCGCATTCTATATGCGTCTCATGATTTACGGGTGGCGCATGAAAATTTAAGCTGAATTCTGGAATATGATCTCGGACAGAAAGGATAACTGATAACTGTATAACATAATCCTAAGGTATTTTAGTCGCAACAACGTTCCGGCTTTCGGATTCACTTCTGTTCCTCGTCCGCTATAAACATATCTTATCGTGCCCATTTTCAAACAGGTTATGCTTTCTTAGAATTTTCGTCTTAAAAATTGTCATCTTTTGATTTCAAAAAAGTTGGTAATTATGTGATCGTTTAAGACCGCGGGATATCTGTTCAACCGAAATCGAACAGATCTGGCCTATACTGTGAAGTCCTTTTTGCCAAAAACCTAAAATATATTTCCGATTAGAATGGATTATCTAGGTGGTGTTGTAATGGCGGCCATCGTGCGACATGATATAAGGCCACGCCGAGGTACTGACTTTTGAAAAAGCTCCTTTCAGGTCACCTGTAAAAAATACACGAAGTAAAAATGACGGCGTAAATAGCATGATTCCTCCATTTATTTCTGATCTATTTAAAAATTCACATATTTTACCAGAATACATGCATGCGATTGTGCCCAAAAATGGACCACGCTGTAGTTGCGCTGGACCGATCACGAGGGTCAGATCGGGGTCCGGCAGGCGTTATTAGGCTGCGCAGCCACAACAAATGCCATACATGGTGACAGGCCTAGGCGCAGGTTGCTGCCGCAACATCAACATGCGCCAAACCTCCCCTCCGAGCTTCTAGACTGTCTTGTCATCGGAATCCAGAGGGCGAGATAGGAGAAAATGTGGTGGAGGCAACGTAAGTCTACTGTCAGCATGAACTACAGTAGGTCGGCTAACTCATGAAATGCCAACCGAAATTCCGAAATGCGTCTTCGTTTCGAAAAGATTAATTAAGTAGGGTTGTAAAACTAGTCAGCCTGAAATGCAATTCTATAATATTTCAGTTACCTCAGGATGCCGGCTTTCGAATGAACTTCCTTTCGACTGCATGCAAAATCTACACTCTGTATAAAATGACTACTTAAGCAGCGTGAATTTTTCTCATTGATTTTCGATGCCCCTAAACGTCCAATTATATTTCATGGAAACTATGCATAAAAATATTCGTTATTTTGCTCTTTCGGTAGATATTAACGTCTTCTTCTAATTTTATTCTCGAAGGAGGTTCATACTTTAGTTGGAAAAAAGTTACTTATTGTGGGACTTTTAAATACCTTGAAATGGTCGTTCATAAATCGTCATGTCTCTGCATTTATCAATGTGGCTTGTAAAGTTAACAATATGGATCAAATCCACTGCTTAATTTTATGAACCCGATATGGTCCCCCTCTATTACCGTGGAGAATTGTGCGGTTGTCCGTACGCGGAAAATGTACGACTTGTAGTTTGGAAACCATGAATCCAAGTGTGACGATAGAGTGGGTTCAAAATTGTTCAGGAATTAGAAAACATTTTTAAAACCTAATTATATCTCTCCTTCGCGTATAAAATTAGAAGAAGACTTAATTATCTACCGAATCAGCAAAAGAATGAATATTTTTATGCATGTTTCCCATGAAGTATAATTGGACTTTTTGGGGCATCGAAAATCAATGGGAAAAATGCATGCTACATAAGTAGTCATTTTTAACAGAGTGCGGTTTTTGGATTCAGCTGGAAGGAAGTTCGTTCGAAAGCCGGCATCCTGACGCAACTGAAATATTATGGAATTTCATTGCAGGCTGACTAGTTTTAGAACCCTACTTAATTAATCTTTTCGGAACGAAAACGCATTTCGGAATTTCGGTTGACATTTCATGAGTTAGCCCACCTGCTGTGACTCGCGCGAAAGTCACTGTACCTGCGCTCGCCATGCTGGAGGGACACATGATGGACATCGACGGTCTGACTGTCGTATGCACATGAACGAGCATTCAGCTCACGGTCAGAGAACATGCTCTAGGTGCGACTCCGACCGTCGTGCCCGACGACGCCCACTGCGTGCCGCACACCAAGGTGTAGCAGGTACAGTGACTTGCGTGCGAATCGGTTCGTAGTGAGAGTAGGCTTACGCAGCATCTACCACACTCCCGCCCTCCTAACCCTCCTGGGCCCTGTGTACTGATATAGTCAAGAAGACCGGCGGAGGAAGGGGCACAGGGGGCTGGCGCAGTCGGACCCGCACCTAGGCGTGCCACCACATCCCCTGGTCCACAGTAAACACTTAGCCAAGTATGTAACCAAAGACAAAATAAAACAGGCATAAAGAGGAGGATGTCTGAGCAGCCTGTTTGCCCAGCGGAAGCGCAAGTGAATCTTCTGGCAGGAAACCAGCTGCCAGAGAACTGCCAACGCCCGCCAGGCTGCGAGAGGCATAGTTTGCTGGTCATGGCATAGCAGACCCTTGCAATCCTTGTACGCAGTAGGTATATTTGCACTGAAACTTGCCAAATATAGACTGAAATCATTGAAATCCATATCGAATAGAGAAGCTTGTTTATGTGGAATTGAAGTACTGATTTGTGCAGAATATAATCCTAGGTTAATGACTAGACGATATGACGCTAGTTCCCCATTGCTAATCTTTCCAACCTCTGCTCCCAAAATAGTTATATTAAAGTAATGTGCATTTTTAACGCCGAATCTTGAAGCTTGTCCTGATTCAACAGTGTGTCCTAGGAATAGGACCCATAAAATTCATTGTTTATGCTAATTTTTAGGGAAGTTGCATTCCGACTAATTTATTCTTCAAAAAGAGCGTGCCTCGATCCTAAAATGATTAATTTCTTCAGTGTGCTTTTGGAAATGACGTTATTTTCGAGTGCTCAAGGGTTCGTAAATTGCACTTTTCAACTTGCCTATTTTTCTGTGAAGGGGTCTCCTGATCCTCATAAAGTAGCTAAGCGATATGCATTAGTTCTCGTAATTTGTAGTCGGCATTGAATTTTTCTTAAGATGTAAGGTGACGCGAATAGTCATGCAGAGACCCCAAGAATTCTGATGAGACATATTTTTTACGACCAAAAGTGACGAACACGCAATTCAACGGTTAAGTGATTAGTTAATTATTTTTTACATGTGCTCTATGTGAAATATGGTTTGGTTTATGTAAGTCTCGACAAAAAAGGATAAAATATACGTAGTTGTGCAGTCATAACTTTTCGGTTGTGATTTACACCGACGGCTGCAACTTAAGCGTCCCAAGACATGCTCATAACACTCAGCACTGCAGCATTTTTATTAACGATTTGCACCTTAAAGGCGTTCTAAATGACCAAGGTAAATAATTCCTGAATTTCGGCTAATGCTATACTTTTCCAAGCAGTAATTATTACTGGGATTTGGGGAAATCATTCACAGACTTTAGCGCCTGTTGTTTATGTCTAAGCCCCACAATAAATCATCTGGCTGCATACAACATGCTACAAATCTATTGTAATGCGCTTTTTCTTCTCTACTCACTGTTGTTCCTTAACCCACTTCCATCTGCCGTCCCCCTTCGTCTGTCATTGTTGAAGATTCAAATTAATGCACAGGACTGAGTCGGACAGCTGACAAAGAGCTGTCAGCACTCCCAACAACACCCCACCCCATTCCTAATGACAGTCATTCTCGTCGTCATGGTTGTCCTCACCACCACCACCACCACCACCACCACCACCACCACCACCACCACCACCACCGTATAGAGTAGTTTGACTGGGCGGGGAAGCGGTGAGAGCGATTTCGGCACTTGCGTGCATGCCAGCCCGTGAGGACCGGGGTATACGTTCCTTCACCCGGTTTTTTGACGAAGGACTATTTGTCTATCCGCGCATGCATGCATGCCCTGGCGCGCGCACACTGTAGCAAAGAGCAGGCCCCTGTGCTCAACCGAGAGAGGGCTGCTAACTGTTCCGTCATTTTCAATTGTAAATCATCCGGCTCCCATCCCCCATCAAAACCCGGTCACACCCTGTCTCCCGTTGTCATCGTAATTGTTGCTACTACTGTTGATGCAGCTGTTACAATTTGCTTCCATCGAGCTGTCCCGCTCCTGTTTCTACTGTCATTAATGGGGGAAGTAGTGGATAGGCGTTGCCGGGACAACCAAGTACCTCCGCCTTCTGCCTCGTTCTCACATATGCACACGCATATTGTCTCCCTCTGCAGTCTCCTTCGTCCCGTCTCTTTCGTCCTGTTCTCAGGCTGTCTAACATCTCTACATGTCAAGTCCCAAACATACACACAACCCGCGAGCCTGCCTGGCTTTTGGGCCCACTAGTAGATAAATGGCTGCGCGATTGACAGTTCCTCCCGTTTAGGGGGAGGAGGGGTGAGTGATAACTGCTGTGTATCCGTTACCGAAACTACCGCTGTTATTGCTGACACGCTTTGCACTTTGTTGCGTCCCAATTTCTTCTCCTCCTCCCCCTCCTCCTCCTCCTCCTCCTCCTCCTCCTCCTCCTCCTCCATATCTATAAATTACAAGATAGTTTCTGGGATGTTTAAGGATGCATGGCCGTGTAACAGCTACCGGACGCTTGTAAGTGCAATTTTCTGCAATTTACACCCAGATCGCTACACAGAAACCTTGCCTTTTACTCGCCTAGTGAGGATGAAGTAAACAATTGTTTTACTTCACACTTCCCGCACACGTCCTGCTCCCATAGCAAGAAAAGGTAATATAATCGGCGGTGGGTGTGTACGCAGAAAAGATAAACAGCTCGTCTTCGCGGATCTCACACATTTTGGGGACAACATTGCAGTCTTATTCCTAACTCTGAGAAGTCCGGCCAATTGTTAGTCCTCCAAGCGGGGACTGTTAGTTCGTTGTAAAAATGTCGGTGCGATCTTGCTAATTTGTAGAGAGAAAGTGAACAGTGAATCCGACCTGGATTGATCTCACTCGCCCTGCCCCATCCGCCCATTTCTCATTTACGTGTACATGTCAAACAGACCGGAGAGGGGATCATGTGCAGTGGTTGGCGTGATTCCCAGTCCCCGTCTAGCGTGTGCAACACGCGGAACACCTCGGCGCGTGTTGTGAAGCTCAGAAACAGGTATGGCTTTCTGAACGTGCAGTCTGCGTATCTTGTTCTCTAGTGAGCAGATAAGTTTCCCCCCTCTTCTCTTGTTTCATTAAAACCTCCCTGACTCGTCAACTTCCTGATACTGCATCATCGGGGATGCACTGTTGCATAAAGAGGGAAGGCAACGGTTGGTGAGTAAATTAGATTCTGATAAGAGCAATTTGCGCTGCCCAGGGTTACATCACGCCTATTCTTTTCACCAAAATCCAGTATTGAAACTTAACCCAAACTCGTTGACAGACCAAATATTTCGCTCCCGTTTTCTGAACGCAATAGGCCTGGTATGGTAATGCTACCTTTACCTGATGCCCTCTGTGTGTATGCTTGTATCAGGGAATCTTGCCCTTTAGCGTACACTCCTCTTCCATCAATTATTCAAAAGACAGGTCGTGTTTGTAAGACGGACAGGTAGATGTACTCGTTCCTCGTCCAACGAATCCTACATGGCTTACCCTATGTTGACTCTCGTGTCCGTCGATCCAGGTAAACCGCACCGAGCTCTTACGCCGATGGCCGTCTGTCGTTTCAAGTGACAGGGCTGTTAGCGTCATCCGTCTCAATTAGTGCGTGCGTACACCCCACCTCTTTCCACGTGGGGGGAATTCGGTTGGGTGGGGGGACGGTCAGGTGGGGAGTTTGTCCTGATACCGTCTGCTCATTTGTCTATCCCAATTAGACTGCATGCTGAAATGACGTCTTCCAATTGATTGTCATTTGAATTTCAAAAGAAACCCCCTTCAAATTGTGAAGAGGAACTGAAAGGCGTGACAGAGGCTATCCAGCCGTCAAGATGATGTTGCGAAGTTGTTGTTCAAATGAATCTCTTAGGTAAACGTGAGTGGCAGTTTAATGACTTCTGTGCCCAGTTGATAGAGTCTAGTAGAGGGGAACTATGTCTGGGATCACAAATCGACGTTAATCTCACTTACCGAAGAACGAGACAAGAAGGAGAAGGTGAAGGAAAGAGACAGGTCGTTTGATTAGACTGTTTCCGCAAACATTTCTGACGGTCAGAACTTGGGGAGCCATTTTGGGTCCTGCTGGCTGTGTTAAAAGAACCTTCTAGACGGTCGGCAGATTCCGAGTTTTCACGTTGAACAGCCGCTTCAGTGCAGCTGAACTAGTGTGAAAGTTTTCGGTGTCAACGTCCTCCAGGCCCCCATATTTACCAGTGCCTCTGAATTACGTCAGACATTCCAGTTGCATTCTGCATGCATACGCGTAAGTCGAAATGTATTTAGAATGTATTGTACGTATGAACATAGGCCATAGATCCATGGTCATGTATAAAACAAGTTGTGGTTCTAGAGTCTGAGGAATTTATTAACTTATACATAGTTCAACCGATTGTGAGTGTAGCCAGGAGAACTAAAAGCTGGCCTAGATTCATCTCAGTAGAAAAAAATTATAAGTGAAAGATTCCCATAAGCTTTTGAAAAACAGTAACTTCCAAACAAGCTCGTGCTTCAGAGCAGCTGAACAGTTTTAAGGGAAACTGAAGGACCATCAAGATAAAAGTCCCCAAAACTGTCCGCCTGGTCCCTTCGACGGTGGATATCACTCATAAACACGACACAGTTTCCTCACCCCCGGAACTACGACGGTGCAATCTTCCAAGCAGGGTTTCCTTTCAGCACGAACGTACAGCGTGCTATTATGCCTGGGATGCGTGGTAGCTGTGAATGGCGTCCTGGAAGATGCCAGAGCTGGGGCAGTTGCTTGGCTTGTCCAAATTGGCACTACAGATCTTCGTTTACGCGGTCTTTGTGGGCATTAAAACCATTTCAGTTGACTGAACTCGTGTCACGGATCATAAATACAAGTCAAGGGATTACTGATCAGAAATACGTAGATTGGACTCAAGACGTATAGAACATTGATTATTACATGCAACCTAAATTTGGGTGGACGCAGCACACCCAGAACAGGAACCCCTGGTGCCTATCCCCCTGTCAAACCTCAAAACCTAACCTAAACCTTAGTCCTAGCCCTAATCTTCCTGTATTTATGCACATGGCAACCTATATTACAAGGTTCTTAGACCTGTGTCCTACATAAAAACGTTCGATGTTTCATTTGCTAAGTTGAGTTAAATTCCTATATAAAAAATTTGCCAAAACCTAACGCCGCATACGAACTACTCATTCATCCCCTACAACCCCATCTTGATCGTTAATGGAACATTGCCTTACGAAAAGGAATGTGGGATGCTCGGACGATTCGGCGTGTTGATGCAGTTGCGATGTTTTCGGCTGACTAGGGCAAATTAATGTCTGCTGTCAGTAGATGTAGTGGTTTCGACAAAACTGATTAATTCTTCTAGGACAAGCATTACTTCACGTGAGAGTGATATTCACTGATTTATCTTGAATGCAGGTTGTGAGTTAGCATTTTTGCATTGCGTACTCAATCGTACACCAAATGACTGGTGCGCAGTACACCAAAAATATATATTCTAGTATCCATAGTCTTTTTAATATCATTTCTCAGTTATAAATTTAGATAGGCCGAACTGCAGAGCGACCATATGGAACCCGGCTTCAGAACTTTGCCTGCACCTTTGAGTCTCAAAAATAATCTCGTTTTAAATATGGGCGACGGGCAATATCGAAAAAAAGCTACAAGGCGTGGCTCAACCCATGCACCCTGGTGACCAAAACCGTGTCCCTTAGGAATAAGAGGGAATTCTGACCCGAATCACTTTGTATGTCGAAATATCTACATATATACGTCATACCATACTTCCGGCGTAGGTGCCAGATAAAAATTCAGACACACGTTTCGCCGATATTTCTATTGTTGCATGGGTTCGCGCCTCAACGCTTATTCCACTATAGCCGATCGTCTTCTTTCAGTCGTTTGATAGAGAATCACGTCTTCTTTGTATTTTATACTCGAAGAAGGAGTATAATTGGGTTTAGAAAGTTTCTATTATGCGATTGTTTAAGATGGCGCGATGTCCATTCATATAGCATCGTACCTGGCCGTTCACTACAGCTCCTCACGATATGTACAACATAGTCCGCATCCATTGCAAAATTTTATGGACTCTGTATAGCGTCTTTTTAAAGGGATAGAAAAATACGTGATTTTCTTTACGCGGAACGCATTTAGCTTGTATACTGAAACCACTAAGCGTTAGTGTAACGACTGATCAGACTCCAAATTAATCAGGAATTAGAAAACTTATTTAACATCTAAATATACACCCTTTTGAGTATAAAAAATAAAGATGACGTGATTCACTATCAAACGACTGAAAGAAAGCATGTTTTGTTTGTGGTTTCTATAAAATATATTTGAATTTCCAAGACCGTCGAAAATCAACGCGAAAAATGCATGCAACATAAGTAGTCCTTTTTCCCCGAAAACGGTTTCTGCAGGAGATTGGCAAGTAGTGTATTCAAATGCTGACCTTCTACCGAGTCCGAAATATTATAGGATTATGCCGCAAAATAATCAGCATTACAACCGCGCCTAAGTAATCCTTCCTAATCGAAAACGCAAATCCGAATTTCAGCCAACATTTCGTGAGATCGGTCAATCACTGTAGGTATATTATATATATGCACATATATATGTATTGCCAGCAAAGACAAGGAGAACCAAGATGTCCATTTCCGACTTAGTATCGGTCGTCAGCCACTCTCATCCGACTCCAGGTTTGGTTGCGTCTGAGGCTCGAACACGAGCTTTTTTAGCTGCTAATCCAGCGCCCTAATCATTCAGCCAAAGGCTTGTTGTCTTGAAGGTTACGATCGAGAAGTTTACCTATGCTGGTGGTGCGTTTACCAAATAAACCGTGTTCGCTTGACCTTGAAGATCTCTGTCCCGAGTTTTCTGCAGTACTCCAAGCCTCTCAGTCGTGCACACGAACTTCCCAGATTGCCTGATCAATTTCCGGGTACTTGAGTGAGCACCTCAGGTAGTCTTCACATTTTCGCTTTTTGCCCCTCGGCTGCGAGCAGTCTCGGTAATGCCATCTTATAATTTTCGCTTCTCCGCCACCCTGGAGACATGAGCACCCTATCACAGTTGAGTCTGCTCTAGCATGACATTGGACCAGAGCACGCCTTTTCGGAGTTTTTGGGACACTTTCCTGCCGCTTTATCCTCATTCTAGGTGAAAGGAGCTCAGTCATACTGCCTGACTTTTACATATGTCCAGGATTCTGTTCCACAGAGGCGCTTAGTCGGAACTTTAATCGTTTAAATCCTCCTTTTCGCATCAAAGAAATTATCAAGAGGATTTTATGTTGGGCGTTATAGTCGTCTGGGGGTCTGGCTGGCTTTAGGGATCGGAGTCACACTTTTTTCCCTATCCCTATATTTCATAATATGGTGCTTCCTAGGAAGGCGATTCTGTCCACAGCTGCTTACCGGC